GAGGGTCTGGGGGATTCACCTGAGAATGTGGCACAGAACAACCGCTGGGTACATTGTAATTACATTTATGTAAGGAATATTCTCTGCTGTGTGCCTTTTCGTCTGCCCCCTTTAAAAATCCCTGCAGACAGATTTCCACAAAAGTGTGTGAGGAAGCGGGGGGATGGGGTCGGGGGGTTGTGACTCTGCTAACTTTACCTGGCTGTTCTGCCTTCCAAGGGCCAAGTGAGCAGTGAGTGACTTGAGGCTAGACACTTTATCTCCGGTACCCTCCTACAGCCAATGAGGAGGGCAAGGCAGTGTGGTCACATCCATGGAAACAGAGAAGATGACTCGCCCAAGGCCCTCAATCACTAGGCGAGTTATTGCAACAAACTAGGACTGATGCCCTGGTTCTAAGCTGGCAGTTTGGAACTCTTTCCTCTGTGCTGGTAGATAGGAGTAGATAGGAGCTGGTAGATGGCGAATCAATCTATAGTAATATGTCCTTTGACTAGAACCGGGTCCTTGGGGTCTTATAAGGTCCAGGGGTCCCTGAGCTTTGGCCTCCCTGGACCCCTGACGAAGTTCCAGGCTCCTGTCTGCTGCCTCTGCTTTTGGGATCAGTGGGCCAAGGCCGACGGAGCCGACGCCTGTCTAGCTGAGCCTGTCTAGCAATTGCTCTGAGATCCTGAAATGCGGCTGCGCGCCCCTGACCATGGTGCTGAAATGACCACGCAGCTCCAGCGCGAGAGGTGCGTCTGGGAGTGAGGGGTTCTCTTACTGAAAACCACCTATCAACCCCCTCTGCCCACGATTCCAGTCCGTAGTCCTAGGGAGGTCCCTGTGGACATGCAGACCCAGAGGACTGTCAGGTTTCCCTAGTGAGAAGAAGAAAGCAAGGTCTCTGTTGCTACTGACTTGCCTTTCTCTCTGTGCACCTTAGGACTCCTGCCCTTATAAATTACGGAGCTAGAATTAAGTAACTAGCTTAGGACTTTCTGACAGCATCTGAGAGGCCTGAGGTGAACAACTTTTGAAGTTTAAGCTAAGGCAGCCCTAGCTGGGAGAACTGGTTTGGAACTTTGCCCTCAACAGGGCTCTCATTGTTTGGGTTACATGCTTTAGTTATTCCAAGAACAAAGCCCAAAGGAAGTCCTCCAGATGCATACACAGGAGATCAAAGTAGTTAAGAGATATGATTTTAGAACCCCACAGACATAGGTTCAAGTCCCAGTGCTGCCACACCTAGTGGTTTTCAATTAAACCCCGTTGCCTCTCCTAAGAACTATTTTCCTCATTTATGAAGATGGGACAATAAATAGTAGCCACATAATTGGGCTATTGTACTGATTAAACATGTTTGTCCAGCCTTCTAAGCTTCCATAAATGGTATTTACTATAATTAGCATCTTTATTTGCCTCAAATTCTTCTCTTTCTCAGCTGAGCACAGTGTCTCATGCCTGTAATCCAGCACTTTGGGAGGCAGAGGTGGGCAGATCACTTGAAGCCAGGAGCTCGAGACTAGCCTGGCCAACATAGCAAAATCCCATCTCTACTAAAAAT